ATTCAACTGCAAGAAACTTTTCATGCAACACGGATGGCTTTCGCAATGATACGACAGCTCAAGAAAGAGAGGCAGCCCTGCAGGTGGGGCCGCGCCATAGATGCTACAAGCCATTCACAGAGGGTCCATATAGACTACGATTATGGAATTGGGCCCCTAAAGACCATCCTTATTATGGTTTTGGGGAGCCTAATTCCATCATAGTAGTGTATCTGGAGCCTCTAAGATTGTGTACCATGTCGCTCATGGCTTCAGAGCTGTTTTCAAATTGATTGCTCAAGCAACCACCTCCGAAGTTAGATCTTCGTTTCGCAACCATCCCTCAGCCGCAGACCCCGCTCGACCTAAGCCCCGCAAGCCTTATCCGTAGACCCCCGTGTAATGACCAACCGCAAAAGCCAGTGGAGCACTCTTTCGGTCTGGCCATGCCTCCGAATTGTCAGGATACCGCATCACTGCCAAGTAATGTCTCGGCTCTTTGGGTTTCAGGGTGCGGAGTAATAAATCAAACCCTAAACCATAAACCCTATAGATCCGGCTGCGCCTTGATCACGTACATCGGGAAGAGGGCCTGGTGGACGAACTTCGTGTTGATCAACCCACACCTCGTCAAGTTTGGCGCTCAAGAACCTGAAGTTAACGGTTCAAAACCCTAAACCCTAAACCCTAAACCCTAAACCCAGGGTTTAGGGTTTATGGTTTATGAAGGACCAAATGACCGGAACTTGGGTTTATAATATTAAAGTTTAGGCTTCAAGAGGCTTCAGGGTTTAGGGTCTTCAACTTAAGGTTTAGGGTCCGGGATTCAAGGAAGCTTTCGGTTTTGGAGTTTCCGGTCTAGTTGTATTAGACCTTAGGAAACAATCGAATATAGGGGCCTTAACAATCAGACTAGGGTTTGGGGGTATATTCTGCTATAAGCAGAATAGTTTAGGGTTTAGGGTTTAGGGTTTAGGGTTTAGGGTTTAGGGTTTAGGGTAATGAACCCCCAAAATAGTATTGGTAATTAGATAGGCGCGTATATTAGGTCCCTACACTGCCCTACATGTGCAAGCAGCGCCAGATCAGACGTACGTCGACAAGCGAGACGTGTAAAGGATTGCTGCGCAAATGCTTCCACTATATAGGGGTTTCCGAAAATAGGGGACCCTACTATAGTACCCTAAATAGTAGGATCCTTATTATAAGGACCTAAACCCTGAACCTTAAACCCTAAACCCTAAACCCTAATAAGGTGCCTAAACCCTAAATTTCTGAAACTCCCATATCGAGATCAGCAGAGCATGGCTAAGCTCTACTTCGCAGACGCGAAAAGCACTGGAACCCTGCCATCCGCAGCGCGAAACCACAAACCTACAATCGCAACTAATATAGGTACACACTCTCCAAAATGCTAACCTAGGAAGCTGCAATCATCAACCCAAGTACTTCATTGTCAGGTCGTTTGGGCTGCTTGTGATAAGGAGAGCCTTCTGTGAAGAAGGGCAGGCCCAAAGCTTTAATCCGACGCTTCTGCCGCCAAGGAGCATCTTGCACTCTGGCTGGAGCGTGCACATCTTGTTCCCCATGGTGAATGACGACAGAGTAGCGTAATACTTCGATAAGGGAGCCCCCTAAACCCCTAAACCCCTAAACCCCTAAACCCCTAGACTGGAGCCTCTGAACCCCGTTGATGGTTGCAGGATTTGAGTGTCTTGGCTTCAGGGATTTAGCGGCATGGGCTCTGGGTAGAGGGGTAGCGGGCGAAAAGCCCACAAGATGAGCTGCTCGCTTCAAGAATAGAGGAGGCCAGGTCTGGGCTGAGGTGAAAGGTTTGGGGCTAAGGGCTTGGGGTAGGCAGAGGGTGAGGAGTAAATTTGTGTGAGAACTACTGCCTGAAACTAGGCCAGATGTTGCTCTCAATCAAACACCACATCTCAAGAAACGGAAGTGTGTCAGAAGCTCTATAACTCCAGAGAAGACATTCCAAAAACTCGTCAGGACGTGGTTCCTTATTTGGTTTTCTGAAGGAGGACGATTACCCTAAACCCTAAACCCAAAACGATTACGTCCTTCTTAGATGCGACGCTGGAGCCACAGCAGCGGGAAGTTGAAACGCATGCAGAAAGTCGAACCCTATAGTGCCCTAGGGGTCAGGGTTTAAGGCCCTGGGGTTTAGGGTTTAGGGGATTTTGGGTTGAGGCCCTAGGGTTTAGGGAATTTTGGTTTAAGGGAAGAACTACGGTTGTTGATATTAAACCCTGCATTCCCCGTAATAAGGAGTATACCATAATTTCCATAGTTTAGGGTGCTTAAGGTAATGCAGGATTTGTATCATCAACAGTAGGCATGACACCCCGAGCACTCTTACTAAACCATGAAAGTCCACCAGAGAGTTGAAAGTCCTCACGGTTTGCGGGTTTATTTTGTTGAAAGCTGAAGAACCGCAACATAAGAAAGCACAATCGGTAGCTGCAGCATACTTTTTCCGTTACGGTATCGAATTTTCCTCTACGATTATCAGAAATCGTGGAGTATGGGCTGCCCTTGACAAGTTGCTGCCGGTACGAAGCCTTGACCAAACCGCCACTCAATTGAAGACCCATCGACAAACTTTGTCACCAAAAACCTGAAGACACTGATGCAGATTCTACACATCCCCAAACCCTAAACCCTAAACCCCGAAACATAGGCCCAACTAAATCCCCAAGCCCCTATGAACCCTCAATCAATCCCACAACCTAAACCCTAGACCCTAAACCCTAAACCCTAGACCCTAAACCCTAAACCCTAAACCCTATACCCCCTAAGCCGACAACCCTGCACCTTCGCACTTAAGCCCTGAGCCTTCAAAAGCTTGAATCCTCGTGGCTGGAGGCCCGCGAGGAGGGGCAAAGGCACACCCAATTGCATCAAAGGTTTAGGGTTTAGGGCATAGGGTGGAGGGTTGAGGGTTTAGGGCATACTTAGAGGCCCAGGGGACTTGGTAAGTAGGATATACATGGAGTTATAAGTACCCTAAATGGAGTTACCTCAGTTATAACCCCACTTATAACCGACTTACTAAGCCCCCTGGGCCTGCAAGTAGGGTGAAGGGTTTAGGGAAACCTCCCAGGTCCTCCACCTCATATGCTCATCCCTAGTTTCCGGGGTTTAGGGTTTAGCGTTTAGGGTTTAGGGTTTAGGGGTTTAGGGTTTAGGGTTTAGGGTTTAGGGTTTAGGGGTTTAGGGTTTAGGGTTTAGGGTCCAGAATGTTCGTCTAGGCCGTATACAGCTGGTCCCGACTCCCTGAAGCCTGAAACTCCAACCAAGAGGCTCAGTTCGACGATGCGGTTGGAGACTTCCTGCAAGCCCAAAACGGCAGGTTATGTGGGGTGAAGCCCCCTTGATGATATAAATCCTGCATCACCCATAATAAGGAATATGCCATACTTCCCAAAGATTAGGATCCTTCAGGTCATGCAGGATTTATATCATCAACAGTACCTAGAGGCCCAGGGACTTAGTACCCCAATTATAACCCTACCTATTACCGACTTACTAATTCCCCTGGGCCTCCAGGTATGAGTATTCGCTCTGCATCAACCCTAAACCCTAAACCCTAAAACCTAAACCCTAAACCGTGCATAAGGTTTCGGATCCCGGCCTGCGCCCTGACAGTAACGGTTATAGTCAAACTTGTTACCAAGAGGGTCCAGTAAAGCCCTAAAGGCCCTACTGTCTAGGGTTTAGCGTTTATAGGGCGCTAGCTATTCAGAGGGTTTAGGGTTTAGGGTCAAGAGGGTCCATATCTACTACCATTATGGAAGTTGGTCCCAAAAGACCGTCCTTATTTTGGTTTTTGGGGACCTGATTCCATAATGGTAGTATATATGGACCCTCTTGGTTCTCATATCCTTATAGAAACCCTTATAGAAACCCTCATAGTACCCTGATGGAATCCCTCAAAGTCTGAAACTCAGATGTAGGAGTCTTGGTAATTAGTGTAGGGTTATGGAAGATATTGTACTGTACTGAAATTTGAGTCAGCGGGATATTGTTCCTTCACACTTGCTTCCTAACCCAGTATAACCTACTATAGAAGGAACTGGATTCTGCGTCAGCCAACAACAACAACAACAACCGCTCTTGAAAGCACAGAAACAGATGTAAGGTGTAACCTTAAACCCTAAACCCTAAACCGTGTACACAACGGCCGATTGCAACCTCCAGTTTTGGACCTTGCGGGTTCGGTTGCGAGGCTTTTGCTAACAGAATGAAGCTGTGAAGGCCAACAGCGTCAAAACCTAAAACCCTAAAACCTAAACCCCTAAACCCCTGAACCCCTAAACCCCTAAAACCCTAAACCCCTAAAACCCTAAACCCCTAAAACCCTAAACCCCTAAAAACCTAAACCCCTAAACTCTAAATCCTCAAGGCCCGAAAGGTTTTAAACCCTTAAAGCCTGGCAGCCCTAAGGCTCCAAATCATGATTATCCCAGAGGCTCCACATATAGTACCATTATGGAATTAAGTCCCGAAAGACCATCCTCATTTTGGTTTTGGGTACCTAATTCCATTATGGTACTATATATGGAGCCTCTAGGTATGCCTCGCAGCTACAGACCCACAACGACGCCTCTCAAAACCAGGGTCCCCTTTGGGGGTCCCAAATGTAGTCGGTTTAGGGTTTAGGGTTTAGGGTTTAGGGTTTAGGGCACCCTTGTAAAAAGGACCCTCCAAAGGGACCCTGACACCGAAACAGAAATTGCCCTGGATGCTACGTTCATGAAATGACTCCTTTGAGGCCCAAGTGTCTGATAATTAATCATAGACTCTCCTAAATTGTAACCTCCATAACTACTATCCGAAACCTAAGTACCTTATTATTGGGTCCTTTGGACCCTTCGGGTTAGGGTACAACTCGCAGATGAGAATACACACTACGCATGCTTGGGACCCTAAGCCCATTGACCACAAGTCGCAAATGAGACTGCCCCAAAACTCTGATAAACCCTGACTCGAAACCCTAAACCCATTGCCTTCATGGTCGGGTAGTCGAACATCAGCGAGGAGGGTAACTTCACACCGAGCTGCTGTTGCAAGCCATTCCTCTCGGCTTAGGAATGTGATCTTGATTTGTTAAGTGCAGTTCTGGGATGTTTAGGCGGAGTTTAGGGCTCTAGGGTTTCAAGGATTAGACAATCATTTAAACTGTAGGGTTTCGGGTTGGGCTATGCAGGGTTGCAGGCTTTGTTGCTACCATGGTCTGTCATGGATGCTTTGTTGCTGGGGCCCTAAACCCTAAACCCTAAACCCTAAACCCTAAACCCTAAACCTTTAGAGCGTCGGGATTCGCGGGTGTTGGGCTTCGGGGTTTACGCATCTCGGCCCTCGCGTCTCTGCAAAGAATCTTCAAAGAGACAAACTCAAGTGAGGATTCTTTAGGGTTTAGGGTTTAGGGTTTAGGGTTCACCGGACTTAGGATTTGGGATGCCTGTGCTGAGCCTTAGAACAAGAAGCACTCAACCCGAACCCCCGAACAACACCAGGACCTCATCGCGACCAAAAAAACCGAGTACCCTCAAACGAACCTGGAACCCTTGGCCTAAAAGCCCAGCAAAACGACCTCAACCAGCTCCCGAAACCCTAAACCCTAAACCCTAAACCCTGAACCCTCAGACCGGACCCTGACCCGAAACCCCAAACCCTGAACCCTAAACCCTCAGCACTGAACCAACTCTCCCCTCCTGAAGGAGACGGCCGTGAGGGAGTCCATACCGGAATCCATGAGGGCGCCTTGACCATGACAAGGTTGTATGGTTTAGGGCTTATAGGGTTTAAGCGGATCATACAGTTCAGGGTTTAGGGCGTAAGGGGGTCATGGGCCTTAGCAAGTATGGTTACTTCTACCTTACTTGCGGTTAGAACTATGGTTGCTTACCTTTTTTAATGACCCCAGTTACTATGTCACTATGTCCCAGGATCCTTCATGTACACAATTCATTCGATTGTAACGCTTGAGGGCTTGACTCATAGGTAGGAGCCTTAGTAACTGGAATGGGGTTTTAATAGGGCACATTGCAGCATAACTGTAACGGATTGTGAATTTAGGGGGCCTCAATAATTAGAATAGGGTTTTGTGGTATAGTATACTATATATATATATATATAAAGGAACCCCCAAAAAAGAGTATAGGTGATTATTTAGGCCCCTATAGTCTCAGACCTCCGGACTCCGGAACTCTGGGCTCCGCGGTTCAAGGCCCAGGGTTGCCCAGGGCTTACTGAGAAGGGAGCTGCATCGTCTCGCTTTTCTGAAACTCTTCGGGGGTTTAGGGTTTAGGGTTCAGGGGTTTAGGGTTTAGGGTTGAGGGTTTAGGGTTCCCTTCGGGGTTTAGGGCGAGTTTAGGGTTTATAGGGTTTCTCGGGCTGCGAACAACATGGGTTTCGGCAGGGCGTGGGACTGAGAAACCTGGGCCATGTTCACGAGGCATCCTTAACAGACATGGAACCACACAGCCCCCAGCAATAAAAAAAGGGTTTAGGGTTTAGGGTTGTGGACTATGTGCTGCGAGGCTAGGCGCTAGCACTCCATTGTTCAATTCCTTGCGAACAGCATAGGAGAGGACAGTGCTTGTGCAGCACCACGCACATGCGTAGCCTCCAGCGCCGACTGCAATCCTCCACGACGGAGAAGGATGCATGGGCAAGGCTGTCCATGCCATCCACTGGTATTGGCTGAGGGATCACCGGCTCCACCTCACCCAAATCGGGCGCTGTTGTCGAGTTCTTGACTTCGAGTCACCTCCTTCTTTGCTGCTGGAAGACCCACTGGACACGCAAAAGCGAAACGCCAGCCCTGGGTACATGGGGTAACTTTCTGACAAAGTGAGGCACAGCTGAGACAACTTGAAAGAAGCGCGCTCAGCGTCTGGTCGCCGTGGAAGCGGAAAGCGAGCAGCGTGTCCAAGTGACACCGCGTCTGCTGCAGCTGACGACCCACTTGTTGCCGACCCGATTGGTTCGGACCGAGCCGCTCCGCCACCGTGTGCGACGTGCCCGCAGAGGTCCCCTCGGAAGCACCACCTCCAGGACCCGGCTGCTCCACAGACACTTGCCGCGGCACCTTTTCAAACCCCCAAACTCCATACCCCTATAAATCCGATATCCGAAAGGCTACACAGAGGTTGCAACCAGGGATCGCCGGATCTCGGGTTTAGGGGTTTAGGGTCCAGGGTTTGGGGGTTTATAGGGTTTAGGGGTTTAGGGTGTGGCGCTTACCGTTTACGGTTGACTTGTTGCTGAGGTAAGGCTACACAGACTATCCAAGGACAAAGCAGGCAACCATGCTCTAGGTGCATCAGTCTAGGACTAGGCATGGCTCGTTGTCATACGTTGCTGGGGGGGACGATCCTGAAGTGAGGGATGCTGGAACTTATGTTGACATGAGGTTCCTCGGATTCTCAACCCTAAACTAGGGTGTAGGGTGTAGGGTTTAGGGTTAGTTGGGTTTAGGCTTCAAGGCAAACCCTAAACTCTAAACCCTAAATTTAAATTAGGCTCCAGCAGGGATCCCGGTTCAACGGCTCGAGGCTAGCCTCGGGACCGTAAAGGAACAGAAATATTGGTGACTATTCAGACCCCGGTATTGGGCCGCCGGCTGTCCAAGAACAACTCGTCGTCCACGCCGATGGCTTGGCGAGCCATTTCCTCTCAGGGACCCGATGAAAACCTTGAACCCATAGCTAGCAAAGCTTGAACCCTAAACCCTAAACCCTAAACCTGAAGCGCAGAGACCTTCAGAATGAGTTCACATCATGGTTCTACACGGACCGTGACATTAGGTAAAGTCGTCAGATCTCCTCCAACCTCCAATCATGTTCTGCATCTCTAGACTCTCTAGACTCAGCAACAAAGGGTCCTAAGCACCTACATCGTAGAAAGTTGGGTTTCTATAGTCGGAAGTACTATCATATGGTTTGGATAAAGATCCCCCTACTGTATATGTACTCCGGGACCCTTTGGGGAAGAACTTCAAGAAGAACGCCTCCGATCCCGGAGGGGTCTTCGGTGTAGCATGGTGACGTCTCGCATGTGGGTGGGCGGCTTCATGAAACGAGAAATTCAAAAACAAGGCATCCTTTATCATACGGATCCGACTCATCGGTCCTGTATTCTTTGAATGCCCTTCTTCCTGACCAAAATCGCTTTGCAGTCTAGACTTAACACGGAAAGCCAGCTGAAGCTTGGCTGACTTTCAAGACGTTTGGACACGATGGCATATAGGAGTTTCTGAAAATGAGGGGTACCTTATTTTCGGGTCCTTAGAACAAGGATCCTACTATTTAGTGTACTATATTTTATGAAAATTAGGGCCCCGTATTTTCGGAACCCCCCGGAAAGGATCCGTATAAAACCAAGAGTTGAATTGCCTTGAATCACCCAGCAGCCAAGCCCGTCTTCTACCATCATATGTACTACAGCCCTTGCAAGCACCGGGAAACATCTGAATCTTCTGTCTGGTGCTTAGTAAGGAATGGGGGAATGGGTTATAGGGACTACTATAAGGGACCTTAAGGGACTATCATAGAGATCCATTCCCCCATCCCCTACCAAGCACCAGACAGTCTTTCAACATCGCCCCGAAATCCCGTGAAGCGAGCGGGTTCAGCCTTGAACAAGAACACTCCGAGCACCCCCGAGCCAAAACACTAGATCCTGATCTTCCCCTCCGACAATTGTCTAGTTTTAGGGTGTAGGGTGAAGGAATAGTGTGAAGGAAGCCCCCAAACCCTAAACCCCGAAACCCAAAGCCCCTAAACCTTAAACTCCTAAACCCTCAACCCCTAAACTTCTAAACCCGAAGCCCCTAATCCCTAAACTCCTAAACTCCTCAACCCTAGCTCCTAAGCTCCTAAACCCTAAACAAGCTGAAACCCAATAGTTTGAGCCAGACCCGACCTGGACGGTGCTTTGCACCATGGCAGCATCTAGGCCCACCTGCCCGGGAAAACGTCGTAGGAACCCCTTTGTCGCAGTATCATGGCTTGAGGGTTTTGGGTCTAGGGCTTAGGGTTCAAACCCCAAGAAGATCCCTTACACGAACCCCAAGAAGATCCCTTAAAGGAACCCCAAAACGATCCCTTAAAAGGAACCCCAAAACGATCCCTTAAAAGAACCCCAACAAGATCACCTTACAGGAACCCCAAAAAGATCCCTTCAAAGGAACCCCAAGAAGATCCCCTAAAGGAACCCCAAAAAGATCCCCTTAAAGGGACCCCAAAAAGATCACCTTACAGGAACCCCAAAAAGATCCCTTACAGGAACCCACAAAGATCCCTTAAAGGAACCCCAAAAAGATCCCCTAAACCCTAAACCCTAAACCCAAAACCCTAAACCCAAAACCCTGAACCCTAAACCCTAAACCCTAAACCCTAAACCCCAAAGGATCCCTTACAGGGTAAGGGCTCGCTCCGGCCTGCTTTGCTTCGACACTGACGGCTGCCTGTGGCGCTGCGTCGCCCGCCGCCGCACCGGGGAGCGCCTCCAACGCTTTAGGGTTCTGGTTTAGGGTTTAGGGTTTAGGGTTTAGGGTTTAGGGTTTAGGGTTTAGGGTTTAGGGTTTAGGGTTTGGGGTTTAGGGTTTAGGCTTCTATCGTTTCTTAGGATTTTGGGGTATAGGCTTTGTTTTAGGAATATATGGCTTCAGGATTTAGGGTTTTCGTTTGAGGATTTAAGGTTTAAGTTTCGAAGGCTTCTACGGCTCTGCGAACTCATGTCTGAAGGCCTTAGCGCTGCAACAAGACCATGTTACATAAGGCTGTTGGGCTAGCTTGAGCCTTCGGGTTATGGGCTTAGCGGCCTGTAAGGGTTTGGGTTCAGACTGATCCGTCTGAGCTTAGCCTTAAACTTCCCAGAGTCTCCACATATAATACCAGTATGGAATTTAGGTCCCAAAAGACTATCCTAATTAAGGTTGTAGGGACCTAATTCCATAATGGTACTATATATAGAGCCTCTAGGTTTGCGGGCATTTGGATCTTGCCATCGCTGGACGGTTGCAGCGTAGCATCGAATTTCTTCTCGAAGTCGGCAGCCGCAAATCTTTCTGGGAAAACCCTAGGCCTCCAGTTACCGAAATACTGGGTTACAGGTACGTAGCACAACACCTGTGCGAATTATTTGCTTGCAAGGCCTCTGATCCTTCAAGCCCCAAAACCTACAGTCTAAATCCTAAACCCTCAACCCGAAATCCCCAACATCCTGAACATTGTAAATTAACAACCCGCCTGCTGCGGCATCATGCCTTGCATAGGCACCTCGCTTGACAGATCAGCATCGGTGCATCAGTTGTTGAGTGTTAATACACGGTTCTGAACGGTTTAGGGTTTAAGGGTTCGGTGGAAAGCGGGCCTTGTGCGTTGACAGCTTTAGGGATTCACGGCCTGAAGGTTTTAGGGCTGAAGAACTGAATTTTGCTTGTAGGCTTGGGTGTTTGCGGGCTTGAATCATATTGTAGGGACCTTGATAGTTTGACCGAGGTCTTGGGTCATTCATACAAAAAGCGCAAGGGCTGTATCGGAATGCTAGTGCACATGTTGGATTCCGCCTGAAGCCGCAGTCCTGCTACAGCACCTTCTGGAAATCGTGCACATCCATCTGGAGATCTGTGAACAATCACTTGCCGCGCCCTAAACCTTAAAACCCCTAAACCCTATAAACCCTAAACCCTAATCCCCCAAAGCCCTAAACCCTACAAGCCCTAAACCCTATAAGCCGTAAACTCCTAAACCCGAAACTCCACGCCCTAAGCCCTGAGGCCGTAGGCTTCAAAAACAGGGGGCATGGCCTCAATGCCCACCTGGCACAAAGCCTAATAAACCTCGAGCCAGGGCCTCCTGAAGGTGATAAGCAGCTGCACACTTAGGGGTTGAGGGGTTTAGGAAGTTTAGGGCTTAGGGCTTAGGGGTTTAGGGCTTATAGGGTTTAGGGGTTTAGGGTTTATGGGGTTTAGGGGTTTTTGGGTTTAGAATTTAAGGGTTTAGTTACTGTTTGAGGGTTTAGGGTTTGGGGCTCTTTGGTTTTGGAGGCAGGAACAACGTGGCGCAGCCGTTCCTAAGCGTTCTGGCAGCCCGGGATCTGTAATTTTACCCTGGGTTCAGGCATATTTAGGAACAAATGGATGATGTGGCTATGCTCAACCAACCTACCCCTGAGGAAAACGGAAGGCCGACTGTAATTTGCTCAGGCTGGTTTCATGGTCTCAGTGAACCCACCGGAGCAAGTGATTGAAAGTAGCACGACCGACACCTGACCCAAAACAAGACAACAAACAACACCAGCACCTGGGCTCCACTATAGCAAGCCTGCTTAATCAGCAGAATCCAAGAGAAGTGCGGGCCTAAAAGCAACCGTTGGACACAGGTATGTGCTACAATTCACCTGAGAGGTGCTTGTCACCTGACAGATGTATACGCTGTAGAGAACGATGCATGTGCTACGAGGCGCCTGTTAAGAACTGCTTGTGATTACAACTCTCAATCTAAGGGCCATAAACACCTGTAAAATAGAAGGTAGGCTTTTTCTATTCAGAATCACCGTTGTGATTTGGGAAACACGGTACTTAGGACCCCTTGGGAAAGTTGGAATTGGTCGTGCTGCGATGCGGTAATGGAGCCTGAAGACAATAAGGGCTTCTGCAGAAGCGCTGAACAAGTCCCCCGAAACCTCCAGCCACTAAAACCCAAACCATAAACCCTTCCAAACTCTGAACCGGACGCATGCCCTGTTCTGCACCTTTAGGGGTTTGGGCTGGTGATCTCACACCCGAGTACATCCCCGCATCCTAAAAACCCTAAATCGTATAACCTAAACCTCAGACATTCTCAAATTCTGAATCGTATATGAACCTGCTTGTAACACTGATCCCTGAACGCCGTCTCGGCGACCGCGCCATCTTTGGTGCCTTGGCGGCCGCTTGTGCTTCCTTGCCTTGGCGAGCTCTAAGGTAAGTGGGTTGGGTTTACAGGTTTAGGTTTCTTTTGAGCTCCCCAAACCTTCCAATATCCTTTAACTAAGGAGTTTACCTGAAATACAGTTAGGATGCCGGATATATGATTTCAGGTATATTCCTTAATTAAAGGGTTTAGGAAGGTCTGGATCGTTTCCTCTAGCCCAGTTCTGTCGCCAACTGACTAAACCCCGAATCCGGGCGGTGCTCGTCCGGAAGCTTTCCCTGGGTTTCCATAATGCACGCTGGGTATGTACAGTCTATATAATAATAAATATAAATGTACCTATATATATATATACAGATCATCATATGTATGCAGCTACATATACATGTACATATGTGCAAAGAGAGAGGGAGAAAGGAAGAGGGAGGGAGTAAACACTGTATCGGCGAAGATTCCAGACAGCTCCTGAATGCCGAAAACAGCACATAACGAGAATGATGCTAGAACCTTTCGTAAACCCCCTTGTGTACCTGAGCATAGGAACCATGGCTTTTCAGGCGCGGGGAACTCGGTTAATAGTTACATGCAGGATTTGCTAACCTTGATAGCCCCGGTAAGTATACGTACTCAATTATTCAATACACGGGCGGGAATGGCTAGTACTGTAGTTTCTTGGGGGATCCTTCTCATGAGAAAACTTGAATATACCCCGAAACCATACTCAGATGATGAAGGCTCCTATTATGGGCTTCTGCGAAAGTGCGGCCCGGTGGCTTTGTGCGATCTGCGCCTGCAACGCCTTGCCGTATGCCCTGGCAGAATCTTGCTTTAGGCGCATTGTAGTTCCTCCCTTTGGTTACCCAAGTTCTAACCCTTGGTTTCCCATTCCGGTCCATGTAGCGGCCTGGTGATTAGAATCGATCTCTGGGCAGTTGTAAACGCTTCCGAACTTGGGTCATCGTGAGCTACTCTTCTTCTTAAAGATCCAGAAGCCCCACACCCCGCAAGCTCCCTGTCGCGGCCCAAAGGGAACTCCACTTCTTCATGTATGACAGCATCGACATCTACTGGTGCTTGGCTTTTGAGACGGATTTGGAGAAAGATTTGGGGGTGCCTTGTAAGGTGGGGCTGAAGTGTTGAATGTGTTTGCTGAGCCTTAAAAGGTCAGCCCCGCAGGGCTGGAGCCTGGATTTGAGGGTTTTATTGTAGTTGGTGAAATCAGGTAGGTTTGGGTTTCAGGTTCAGGGTGTAGTGCAGGTTCGGGTTTTGGTTTAGTTTATGGTGTACGCAAAGGGGGTGTAGGCTGGGCTTTCTGCTTACAGGGAGGATCAAGACCGTAGCCAAAGCTTTTTATATGCCGATTATTAGTGCTAGGTCGAGGTTGTGTCACGGCTTTAGTTGGGTTTCGGGTCCTGCTTTAGTATAAACGATATAGGTTTCTTTTCAAACCAGTTTACAACAAAATCGGACCCTAAACTTTCTGGATAGATTTAGGATCAGGGTGTGTGTAGGTTTAAGACTCAGGTTCTGGGTTCGGGCTTCGGTTTGTAGGTTACGTTTGGGGATTTAGGCTTAGATGTTGTCTTTGGGGTGTTGTCCTAGGGTGGAGGATAAAGCGTTCTTCGGTTAGGCTTGGGGTTTTGAGGTGTTAGTTGGGGATGATCAGGTATAGCTTTTAGGCTGTAGATTATTTAGAGGTTTAGAGGTTCTGCAGAGGGGTGTAGTTTGTCGTCCAGGATTCTCATCTTGGGCGCAGCAGGACAGCTCTGGTGGCCTTGTTTGATCCTCAAATTGGCATTGGATGCGTCTGGGGTTCTATACCTTAAAGCCCTAAGCTCTACGACTCTAAGCCCTGAGACATTGGTGTTGGGCTTCGGTTTAGGTTTTGGTTCGGGCCGTTTCGGGTCTGAAGTTTAGGGCCCAGGTTGTTAATTAATTGGGTTTAGAGCCAAGGCTGTTCAGGTGTATGTGCGTAGCTTAGTGGCTTTAGATGGTTTGGGGTGTAGGTCTGAGGATTTAGGTTCACGGAGTTTTTCGAAAGGCATGGTAGGTTGAATTCCCATTATGACTTGCGAGCTCTTGTTGAGTATTTAGGCACCATCATCGAGCTCAATAGCCTCATACCACTTGCATGCTCCCTCCTATGCGGGCTTCAAAACGAATAAACAATTTTGGCTTCTTAACCGTTTGCTACCCTAAACCCTAAGCCTTTAAACCGCGGACATCGTGCAAACGGACCACACAAAACTGGGGGGCCATTCAGCTACTCGACTCTTCAGCTCAACCGGAAGTACAACGCCCGGCTGCAGGTCGATTGGATCAATTCTGGTCCCAGGTGCATCACGGTGCCGGGAGATTGCTGCAAAGGAGGCCTCGGGGTCTTGGACCCGTGTGCGGAGAGACAACACCCGGACTGCCGCACGATGAAGGTCGCCATGCCTTTACCGGGCTACCCGTTCTTCTGGCCGATTGGCATCAAGAACCGAGGGCTTCCCTCTTGGGCTCGGCCTGCCCTTTGCATTCCTTTTGGAGTCGACCCGAAGTTCATCGAGCCAGTGCGACGACGATGCTTTTGTAACGATGCGAATCTCGCCCACCACCGCCGGGGGCCGCCATGGGAATCTCCTTCCCTCTACGAAGTAGTTTCGGTGGTCAGCAACCTATACCACAAATTTGGTCAACCCAAGAAAGGAACTACAATGGAGACTTCTGAAAGGGTCTATATAAGGCTTAGGGGGCTGTGGGGGCCTAAGGGCGCTGGATCCTAAATCCCACAGACCCAGGGCAAGGCTCACAATCGACTCTGTGAAAGGTTTCAAGGTACCAGTACTTAGAGGTCCAGGGGACTTAGTAAGTAGGTTATAAATGGAGTTATAAATACCCTGCATGGAGTTACCCCAATTATAACCCTACGTATATATATATATATAACCCACTTACTAAGTTTCCTGGGCCTTTCAGTATTGGGGGAGAAGACCCATCATAAGCGAAATGCCTCATACCCCGAAGGTCAAAGTGCTTTCTCAATCATATACTCTCCCAACTAGCCTACTACTATCCGCAACCAAAGTACCTGATTGTTGGATCCTTTGGAAGTTTAGGGATATAGAAACCCTGCATTCTACTATACAGATACTTAACCCTAAACCCTAAACCCTAAACCCTATTAAGGACCCTTTGGGAACCTAGACCTTGATCTCAAAGACTACACTTCCTCGAAAGCCTGGGCTGTAAATGAGCCTTGGGGCATGTTGGGTCTGTGGGCATTGCCCAGACCTTCCGAAATCCTTTAGGGTTTAGGGTTTAGAATATACCTTCATAGTAGGACCCCTCATTTAAGGAACATTCTTTGATCAAGGGATTTTGGTGAGGCTACATAGGCTCTTCATACGATGCTTATTTGTACGCATGCGTGTGTTCGAGTGCAGGGTATTCCGTTGTGCCGGGTTTACCTGCATTGCCTATGCAGTTTGGAATCCCAACAGTGACTGATCAGACTACTAACATTGAATAAACATTCTGTGGACATGGTGGTCTTTACACAATGCTTGTAGCCCTGCATCGCCAAGCCACACAAATGTTATACAGTTATACGCCACACCAGCTGCATGCATCTCCAAACCCAAATCCAATAACACAAATCTCAATAAACCCTGAACACACAGAAAGCCGTGCCCCCTGAAGCCCAAACCGAAACAGAGCCTCAAAGCATGATACCACAAAGCTCGGAGCCCTGAAAACCTTGTACCCTCAGACCTATACCCAGCACAAACCCTAACCCCTAAACCCTAA